ACTTTTCCACAATGCGAAGTAACACTTTATATCATTTTGGCGTATATTATTTACGGAAAAAAGATGGCGTCGCTTATCATAATTGCTGCGTTAGTCGCTACCCGCGTTCCAAATGATCGCGATATCATGACTTTTTACTCACATACGTATTTTTATTGGGTCAATCAACTCACATGAACACGGTAAAGATAGACTGATGTTTTTTTCGATATCTGTACTAACAACAAGAATGTTATTGGTTTTCAGTGTTGAAGAATTGCCTTGTTTTGTTATAAAACGGCCCACAGTCAATACTCAGTTCTTAGGTTTTCACGATTGTTATACATTAGAAAACTATTTTTTCCGGATCTAAATTGCGTATAGTAGTTTTTTCAAACAAACCAACGATTCTGGCCTTTTACAGGTCCCATGGTCACGGCTGACTGAGATCATCAACCATCAAAGCCATCCCACTATAGTTGGTATAAACTTTGGATTATTCGAAAAAACAATTTGTTCGCAATTTGGATCCGAAAAAATAAATTCATTACACGTAGAGTCAAGGTCACATAATTCTTGACACATTTGACTTTGGACCTTTCTTATAGTAAGCGGCACAGAGTTGAATTTAAATCTCAAGTCTTAATGTCCATTTGCACTAAACTTACATATGACTTAAACCAATTCAAGCATTGGGTTACCTATCAGTAGTCCGAAATGACTTTTTCCAGAAATAACGTTTGCTCGAATTTTCATAACCTCGAAAGTAATTTTGAAGGAAAATGTTTTTTATTTTTAACCTAACATATAACATATCCTGAAAGAACAACGGTTTCGTTATAATTCGGTTTTCGGTGTAATGAAAATTCGAACAAACATTACTTCGGAAAAAAATCGAGTTTATGATAGGTTAACCAAGCATTGATTTAAGATATACTTAAGTTTAGTGCAAGTGGACATTAATTAACGAGCTATTGACTCTGTATTTAGTCTGTACGACAACACTAAAATGCTGCTTTGTTAAGGCCTGAAATAATTTAGTAACGAATTTTGATTACAATTTGCCATCAACTTTTTCTTTTTCTTAATGTTCATATTTCGCGTTTAAATTAGCATCATAATTGCAAGCATCAAACATCTGTTATGCCAAAATGATACAAATGAAACCCGAGTTGGGTTGGGTCATGACACGAGTAGAAGGTTAAATAACATACCATTGTCGTACCGTAAACGCGCCGTGTGTTATGACCCTTATATATAGGCGTAAAGATAACACAACGCTCCGTCGTATCTAGGTGCATACAGTCGGGGAGACAAGCCTAGGTCAACATCTCAAATACTTAAAATGCGAGTCATGATTTAAAAAAAATAAACAAAAAAAAATAAAGAAAACATCTAGCTGATTCTACTCGGTCGAACAATATTCACTTACAATATAAATAAAAATAGAATTCATACTAACTTATTTACATAGTGATGGTATCCTATCAAGAAAACATCGTTTCCCCTTCAAATGTAAAGAGCATTATTGCTTTGCGAAAGTTGTTTGTTTATTATAGTTAAATAATTATCACAATCTCAACAACAAATGTCAATTAATGTACGTTATTAAATACTGCCTGTACTTCTTTTACACAATACTCATTTGATATGATAGAAAAAGGTGGTAAACGGTGATGCATCTATTGACATTGAACAACAATGTCCATAGTAAATAGCTGAGTAGATGTATTTATACTATATTTAAGTTAGCGACCTAGTATAGGCTGCTCTATTTCGCACTGTTTCATAAAAATTACGAGGACATAATTATACCTCCGATGAAAACACTACGCCAACTTAATGTTTGGTAATTTTCTTTTATTTTTGTAAACAGACAAATTTATTTACTAATAAGTATTATGTTTCCCGAATTCCGTGAAAAGAAAGAAACAAAAAACAAAATTCGGAAAAAAAACAAAATAACAAATTTTGTGAAAAAAAGAAACAAAAAACAAAATAAAAACAGAACAGGTCCAAAAATTGACATGGCGTATTGTTCATTGAAGGTATTGACAAGATAAGAGGTACAAGGGTAAACAAGCTTTAAAATAGTAAGGGCTCGTGCATAAAGGTGTTAACAATAAATAAAAAAGTATGATAAAAAATGTCTAAGTCGCAGGTAAAGAGTCACAGATGAGTAGCAACAACACGCGTCCGAATTGCACAGATGTGAGAGCCAACTAATTATAATTGAAGAAATATTATTTGTACCGATGAATGTCATCTCTTCGAACGGCTTATCCTTTCTATCTTTCTATTACAATAGGGTAATAAAACCATTAACAATTCTTTTACATAAAGCATACATGAATTTAACGGTCTTGGTCCATCGAACGAGTCATCAAAGCGCTAAATGCTTTTTCTGAATTCTAGTTTTGAATTATTTCTTTGCTCAACGCGTTGATTTTTTTTAAGGTACTTCGTAAAATACCGTAACCAAGGCTCTGTCACAAGGCGCTGAAGGTTACGCAAGAAGTGCCTAGCACTGAGTGCGCTGACGTCGGCGCAAGCGCTCATACAAGTCTTTCATTTATGAGCCTTCGGCTCCGCGTCTGGCAACGTTATTTTCACCTCTCAGAGCGCGTGCTTCCTTTTTCCTCGTAGCCAGCGCCTGGTGTCTTTAGTCAGATTTAGTAGGCTATTATAGCGTAGGTGTTTTCGATTTTGTATGAGAGTGATGTATCTGTTACGTAGTAACTATTAAGTAATCTGTACCGTAACGGTCTTTAAACCAGTTGTTTACCCTATACAGATGGCACGTTCGCTTTTTTTTCCTATTCTACACGGTACTCGATAAGACGAATCGGTGCAAATAATAATTCGCCAAATATAACTTGCCATTATGAATGCGGCTTAAATGGCTTATCTGTAACCAATCACGTACAGCTGAGTTTTTTCAGCACTAGGTCGCTAACTTAAATAAGGTATAGTTATTTAAAATACCACAACGAGGCACGGGTCTTGAGCGAATCATAAAAATTTGCTGGCAGAATAAAAAGTGCTATTTATTAAAATTCAAGCTTAGAAAACATTTTAATTGAATTCTCCGAAGCGTAGTTTTTATTAACTAGTAAAGTCATAAAAATAATACTAACTACATGAAACAATTTACATTATCGCACCTCTAGTAAAACGCAGACTTTATGCCAAAAAATTGTGACCCCCAAACAACATTTTTCCTGACTTTATGAATACAATAATATTAAAATAAGATCAAATAGATGTAATTAGTTATCTGTTGAGATTAAAAGAAATAACAAAAATACAAACTCAAAACCTACAAACACCTTTTGGCAGTATCATTAGGGTCTGCAGATGCTACAAACCCTATATTTGCAATCATAATAGATTTTAAACGATTTTAAAAAAAAGGAGGTTCTCAATTCGTCTGTATTTTTTGTATGTATGTTACGCGATGAGTCCGGTATTATTTAAACCGATTTAGAGATGATTTTTTTTGTTGAATAGAGGGTACCACAGTCCCATATAAATTTGAAGAAACTATTCCTGTAAGAGTGGCAAGCTAGGGGATGTATCCGGTTTCGCGCACTTTTCAGTAACTGATTTCAATAAAACTTGGCAAATAGATGTGTGACCACGAACTTTTGAGGTCGGTTTTTATTAAAATGCAAATTATACGGAATAACAGAGACTCATTATGCATTCTTTTATTTTTCTATACTGGACGTAGTACGTATTGAAATATTGTTAATATTTCAACTTTTAACTCTTCAAATGTTCTCAGTGGCCGTAAATACAAAACTTTTAATTCATTTTCTGTAAATTATAGAAATACGAGTTAAATCACTATTCACCGGACGTGCGATATATGAAAACTTATAACTCTCCTATATAAGCAAAAAAGTTATCTACTAAATTCGTTCACAAAATCTCAAAACCTCTCCTGAAAGTTGTCATTTTGCAGATGTGGCATTATTACACCAATGGTGTGACTTGTCAGTTTTTCTTTTAATTTGGCATTATGACGGTCCATAGTTTACCTGTCCCATAGAGAGACAATGTTGTGGATATTCCAAACACTCGCACGAAGCGTATCGCTTCTACATTTGTATGGCGAACGGCAAAGGAGTGGAATTCGCTGCCTGCGGACTTGTTCCCTGAACGCTACAACTTGGGCCTTTTCAAGGCGAGAGTGAATAGGCACTATTTAAGTATGCATGCTACATCGTCGCTTTACAACAGGCGAGTTGGACATCAAATGCGCAGTTATTTACTTAGATAAAAAAAGACAAGCGTGATGATATGTCGCTGCCTTTATACAATGACGCAATACGCAGGATACTGATTTTGAGTTAAACATAAAAGTTTGCGAAACTTTAGCGTGAAGGCTCTAACATATATTTTTGTAATTTTACTCATCTTATAACATATATTTTTTTGCCGTATGATAATGGGTGCTTTAATCTACTTAGTTCATCGTATTCTGCAATACGGCGTTATTGTACAAATGCGATGCATGTGTATGGCGAAGATATATACTCCCGGACACGTTTTTGCCTTAAAGGTCTAGAATACAAAATTAGTGTTATCATCGAACAAAAAGGTTTTCCCCGGTTTTGCAAGTCCAAATTTCCAACAAGAACTTATGGAAAAGACGTTTAATATACTAGTTTCAGAATTGCGTAGGATAGTTTTTGATCAATCGAATATTGTTTAAGCTTAGGGCATTTAATACTGATGCGAGGTGGCTCGAATTATGTGTCCGGGAGTGTATATATATTAGTTATAAATGTGTTACGTGGTAATGGGTTAATAGCTTATATTGCGTATATATCCGCAGAACACCGTGCCTGGCTGTGGGACGTATACGCTTAACTCAGTATAGTACAATATGGTAATGCATCTTTACTATCATATTTAAAAAAAAATATTTAAAACATATTTATACAAAAAAAAATTATAAGAAAAATTTACCATTGCCTTTGTACTCGTCGTTTTCAAACCGCAAAATGATATTTGTATCGATTTGTAAATTGAAAAAACAATTTCTTAATAGACAAACCTTAGAGTTATCATTTTAAAAGGTGACAAGTTTTGACCCTCATTGACATAAATGTCGACATTTGACATTTATGTCAACAGAAGATATACCCCAAAACCTGACTTAACAGCCTTTATAAACACAAATATTAACGTCAAATCTGTTTTGCACAAAGTACACTGGTGTGCAGAAAAACTTAAAACAGCACTCTCTGCTTATTATTATACATGCATAGTCGAATATAATTTTCAGTTGTATAGCTAATCATGCTGTTGATTGTACTCTATCAGTCCTACTAATATTTATACAAAAGACGCTTATTATGTTATATTTGTTTTAATCGTTAAAAATAATCAATCGAATTACCGCTTGTTCCTTTTAAATTATTTTATGGTTTCGTTATTTTCCGCTTTATGCAATTTTCGGTCTTGTAGAGAGTAGATGTTTCATTTTTAAAACCAGCTTTACATATGTTTAAAACACAAATATTAAAATACAATAACAGTGCAAGATTAATAGGGAGTCAATAAATTTTGCTCATAAATCGAAAATATATTCTTCTCTTTCACACCAATAGTGCAATAAGGGTGACAACATTTTCAGAATAATCTAGTGTCAGAAGTAGCTAGCCCTTTCTTTTCTTACCGAGTAAGTTAGTATCGTTTAGAGTGATCTAATTAATTTTATTTTTGCACAAAAGTAAAACCTGATGAAGTCATGGAACAAAAGTTGTTGTTTGTGATGAGTAATATAGTATTGAAAGGTTTTAGTATTTTACAAAATAACCTTGTATAATATGCAGAGGGTTCTAAAAGAAGTTCTCAATACGTGTGAACTTGCGAAACAGACTTGACGAAACGTAACACAAAATAATATGCATTTAAAAAAATAACATGAAATTTTCATTTGGAGTAAATTTTAAAATGGAACATAACGAAGGGAAACTGTAAAATGAGAGTTTTCCAACCGTCCTTCATACCCTAGCAATGAATGCCTGTTTGCCTCGATTACACTGGCATTTCTACATACTTTTTTTCTTATACATACATCTTTCCCACCGTTCCGATGCCTAAGATCACTGTTAATTGGTCATTGTTATACAAAATCAAAACAATGACCGATTAAGCAGGGCACCTTTTGACGTCCGCGTTGGGCCCTTAGGTGCGGACTCGTTTTTTGTTGGTCATTGCGTTGTTTTGTTCGACCGATCAATATAATTGGAGCCACAGGCCCGATGAAATGTTTTCAAAAAGATTGCTGTCGACTTACCATAATTAAAATGTCACACAATTAAACAGAAACTCAATTGACACTACATAGAAACCTGTCACAGTATTATTTAAAAATGAGCCATCTAAACTACTGGATGATTCCAGTAAAGATGTATTATATGTCACAATATGACGTTCGCGCGCTTCTCAGAAATGCACTACAGATTCATATCTCTACTTCCAAAATCAATCATAAAGATTTGTGCCTCTTCTAATATAAAGTTTATTGAATACATGATACTACGTTGCTTATTTCAAAAGCAATAGTATCTGCACTACTGTGTTCTGGAATTAAAGGTAGGGGGGATTCAAGGCAATTATAAATGATGTAGATTCTATGATGACGCATTTACGATGTTAATTAAGGATACTTAGTAATATTTGTACGTTCGGTTGGTAGCAGTGGCGAAGGGTTTCTAATATAACACGGTTTACAAGAATTTGATTCCCTGACTAAGACTCAATTTATATTGCTGCGGAATGGAATGGAAGCAAATGTTGAAATACATAGCATAATGAACTTTATATCAAACATAGATACAAGCCAAAAAAACAGGTAGGCAACTTTCGTAGAATATTCGTGCCTTTTGGGAATCTCCGCACCTTATCGTATCTAGTTTGTACGTTACATAATTGACATAAAGTTCATTATGACACGTACAAATTAGTTACAAAGTTCACTTCCATTCCATTCTGCAGTAAATCGATTCTTAGTAGCTGATACTGAATGGAAAATGTTTTGCATTGCATTTGATATACATATACCGTCTATATCGGCTTGTCATCTTACAATATCCACCCCTCGCCACTGGTGGGTAGGTATGGTAAGAAGCGCGCGACCGTAGTTAATATAACATTCGAATTCTAACAACGTAATGTAATTAATTATTTCTTGTTCTGTAATAATTGAGAGTCCATTTCAATATTTCTAGAGCAATTATGATCGTAAGGCCGACACTTGCAGGCATGTGAGTAGTGATGAGACATATTATTGCCCGGGACCAGGACCACAGTTGCTGGTTCGTCGGAAACTAAGATCGCCGTTTGTTGTAGTTTAAGCTCTGGAGAAGCCGCCGGGCCCACCACTCTTCCAGGTTGAATGGTCTGAAGTTGGCGAGCTGGCGAGGCGGCAACACCTCATGATAGTATCTCGCGTCTTCACTGCCGCGCTCTAGTTCTCGTGTCACCTGTAACATAGTTAAATTTTTATTGAATTGATATTCAATTATTTTTATATGAAATTACTCCACTAGTTTCGGATCGACGGATTTTTTCTGAGTGTTCGATCTTTGTATTAATGATTAGTTATAATTGGAGAGTTTCACATAAAAATAATTGAATATCAATTCAACAAAAATTTAAATACAATGAATAGCGACATCTCTAGCCGGGGCTGGTAGCTGTAAAGGTATCTAACTGGGTGACGAAATATCATAGAGTTCTCATAGATGGCGCTACGACTAAAAAGTCGTTGAAAGACCAAATACAAAGATACGACGCAAGCACATAGAAAAACTCGTGAGGTCCGCTGGTTCGTTCCGTGGCTTTGTTGGTATAGCTTCTGGTATGCTAGAAGACGTCGGTTCGAATCCGGCCGGATCGAAGGAATTGTTTCTGAGTGTCCGATCTTTGTATTAATAATTATAACAAACTGTAATATACTGTTTCGCATTATTGATTTAGTTGTTTAATTAACTATTTATTAATTCAGACTACTCTATGGTATTCGCGTCTAATTTCATACAGTTACCCCCACAGATATATTATAAGCCGTGATAGCCTAATGGTTTGACCTACTGCCACTCAAGTGGGTTTGAATCCGAGTTTCTCACAATTTACTTGCGAAATTTTATTTGAAATTTACCATGAGCTTTTTGGTGAACAAAACATCATGATAAAACCTGCACGTCGAAGAAGATTCACAGCCCTCGGAAAACGTGTGAAGTCCCCAACCCGCATTGAGCCAGCGCGTACGGACAATGGCCTAAACCCTCGCCTGAGATGAGACCCGTGCCCAGCAGTGGGATGTATAAATGAGTTGATGATGACCCCCACAAGAGTTGATGTAATCAGACTATGGAAAGCACTTCCTATTAAGTTCTGTCCAGATACACGCGATATTTCTACCGCTGTGGTTAGCGAAGCGCTATGCGGTATTCCTACTGTTCAAATCTAAGCGGATACCGCTACAGCTAAGGGTGGCAACACTTTCTTGATTTTCGCCTGTCTAGGCAATCACTTCTTTGCCGTCAGTGAATTATGACTTCACCACGATGGCAAACATATCCCATACATGGCGGCTACTTGTGACGTGATCAGCGTGGCTAAGTTTGGGCCGCGATATGGTGTAAGCCATCGATACGAAAAAGAAAGACAAACCCCACATCTTTCCTCAGTTGCACCTATAAATATAATAAACTCCTTGTACACTCTCACATTCTTAACACAAATGAAAAGTATTAATAATAACGTGTCAAAGACAATGGAATACTAACATGTAAAGATGTCAAGATGCCTTCAATCGCTTTAAGAGAAGGTCATCTAGAAAGAACGAGTCTCGATGGAATTATAATTACATCCCGTACACACAAAATAAGTCTTTTTTGGCAGAAGATTATTAAAAGATTCCATTATTTAAAAGGTTAAAATTATTATATAGCATTTTAAATGTTTTATTAATTTTTTTCTTCTGCAATGCACCAAGAGACTTTTTTATAATAATGTTTATTTCTCCACGCAATACAAATAATAAGCCCATAAAGAACTTAGTAATTTTAAGTTTTTTTTTTAAGTGATCTTAGTTATTTTTGTATGGTGCTTGTTAAAGACTTAACACCAGTGCTACAAGTCACCAGGAAATTATTTTTCCTTATATTAATTTTCACGAAATCTTTTTTTAATCGTGAGAAAAAATTTGTGAAAAGAAAGAAAAGAAACAGATGTCAAAGAAAAGCAGATGCGGAAACGGAAGTGTAAATACTATAAAGGCCTCAATAAAATAGTTCCCAACAGGACTTGTTTTTTATTTTATAATTTATGTGTAATGATTACAAAACAAAAAACTACACTAAAATCGCGACCTCAACTGCACCTCTGACCTCAATTCGCACCTGATGCATCGCAAACGTTGTAACCTTCCGATTAAGGTTCCATTATAAAAGTAGCCGAAGCAGAAACGGAAACAGATGTGAAAAAGCATGGGGAACTTTCGCAGTCGCGGAAACAGAAGCAGAGATCTGTTGCATCACTATTCAAAATCAGTCACTGTTTTAAGCTAAAAGTTCATACTAAACCCAATTTATGGTACAAATGATTTTTCCTGGGAATTCAAGAACAATAAGAAATGGTGAAATTAAAGGCACATGGGACTTATGAAAAGTATTGTAAAAAAAACATTTTTTTTAAGTGAAAATAACATTGAAAAAAATTAAAGAAAAACGGTTTTTTTCGGAAGTAGTAGTTTTCTTTCCTAAATGTATGAAAATAAAAATATGACAGGAGCATATTATATTTTTTTATAATTTGGCACTATGCTACCTCTTTTGTTAATATTATTCTTCACACATAAATTGCTCAAAACAAATGGGCAACACTCACTGACATTTATGTCCATGGAGGGGAAATTCCCCAATAACAGAAATCTCTAATCTTTGTTTACTTTATTATTTCATTGAATTGGGTGCAGTGCAACGCACTGTTCGTTGTTGTTGAGTGTCAATGTAGAGATTATTAAATCGTAAATTCATATTACGGTATTCATAAAGTAAAATAATCATGATTAATGTCTTATTTCATTCCCGTTATTTTATTTAACCTTTCCTGAAAAAACAATTTTATAAAAAACGAGCGTGGTATGTTTTTACAAAAAAAAAATAAGTTCTTAGGTTTTCGCGGTCGTTACACATAGGAAATGAAACTATTTTTCCGGATTTCAATCGCGTATAATTGTTTTTTCAAACAAACCGGGCCAAACTTTCGGGCCCTTTACAGATCTCATGGTCACAGTCAACCGTGATGTAACTCCGGAAAAATAGTTTCATTTCCTATTCCTATTTTTTTTAAGTTACATCACTACTCCTAACACTTAGTGCGGGGCTATGTCGAGTGTGTGCGTTAAAAAAAACTTGTTCTTTGCACAAAAACTTAAGCGTAACTGTAATTTACAGTATTACGTTACTTTTTTGTTCTGTGCTATTACTACTATAAATCTAATTAGGTTTTATTTTTCTTATATTTTCTTATTAACATTCAGCACTAACATAATATATGAACACAGTACTTAAGAAATAAAATAGCAAAACTCAATTTATTACTAACTTAATATATACGGAATTAAAAACAACTGAAAATGCTGTATGAAAAGTGGTCGCGTAAATGTCAACCTAAAGATTTAAAAAAAACCTTCAACAAGTATAGAGGCAGTTAGAAAAATATAAAAAATATTAAAACTAACCTTATTCCAAGAATCATAAACATAGTTTACAATATCATCTTGGGGGTTGGTATTGTTATGCTGAGGCGGTTGCGCAGGTGGGCTGAGGCGGGCTCCATTGTGGCCATTACCGTTGTGCCGTTTGCTGCTGCCCATGTGCGGCAGGGAGCGCGGGCCGCTATTTACGTAGCTTGATCTGGAATTTGAAAATTAACATAGAATTATATATTTTATTCTATTTACAGAAACTATGCAATTTTTTTTTACTTGGAAAATATGGCAAAATCCAAAGAAGACTTGTCAACTTATGTCTCAGTGTGACGGGCGCAGTGGCTGTGCCCCTCAGATCTTTGCGATGTAACACTCTGAGTGACACTGCAACTGTTATGGAAAGGCGTGTAGCTCAACATCCGACGCGCGACTTACTCGTCCCATCACTTGATATTATAAAAAAGTTTTTGGCGCATACCAGTGGACTCCACCACATGCCTCCCGTATTCTTTGCTCTTCATTAACCGCAGAGAAGAAATGAGCTGCGATGCGAGGTCGGAAACTTATGCCTTATTTAAATAGTCTTAGCATAAAATATATGAGGTTTTATAAGCAGTTTGAAAAGTCTGATAACCGGCCTTTAGGAACCAAGTATTTTTGTTAGTAACTGTTTTTTACAAAAAAAAATATTAAAGTTTACCAACTTGTTCTAATAGAATTAATTGATCAATAAAAATAATTGATCGGCATAAAAAAAATATTAGTCAATATTTTCGTTGTTTGTTATTATTCAATTCACATTTTATTTCACTTTCATGAACTCATACTTGACCAAGAAATTGAAAATGCCAAAAAACTGTTTTTACATAACAAAACGGCTTTCTATTGTTTCAGATTTCCCCATGCTCTACCAGCAAAAAGAAACAATGTATATACCTAAAAGTAATAAATGTCATAAAAAAACAATTACAAAGTATATGATTTAATTAAATAACCAAATAAATAATAAATATATAATCTGCACATTAGCAATAGGTAATTATTGTTAATAACAACTTTTAAAATGTTCTGACATTATAGTTCGGTGGATTGTCAATTTTGAGTGAAAAGCTGATACACACTTTTTTTTTTATATTTTGAAAATAACACTGTCACATTTTTTAAACATTTTCACACTCTATGAATAAAAACACTTATTACCATAGAATAGAATATGCAGAGTATATTTACCCAAGTGTAAGTAATACAATATAGAATAGATACAAACCATATTTGTATAGCAAAATGAGCTATATGTTTAGTGCACTGTTTAGGTTCTCGGGTTTCTCTCGGAGAAAAGTTTAAGGACAGTGGTATCATGACCATATCATCACAGCACAATTACTCATATATTATATACGCCCATAAATATATACATAATTTTATTTAGAAATAAGATATATTATATCCCTAATATTAACCTTAGAGATAAGTCCAAACTTGTGGCACCATGATTTTGTTTACCCAAGGTAAACAACTCATTTGTTGGGAACTGAATACATCTCAATTTCAATTTGTAAGTTACAATAGGATTCCAGTACTAAGATTATTATTTCCTAAGTTTAAAACCTACATTAAAAATATTTTACTTGAAAGGTCATATTACAAATTTGAAAACTATGTGTTAGGTAAGTATGTATGGAAACACAACATGGCTCTAGATTCCACACAAATTTGATTCAAAGTTCATTTCATAGCATTTAAGGTTATTTGAAAAGAGCAATCCCTAGAGTTTCTTACTCATTCTTCTCAGGGAAGTCAACATATTGAATGAGCAGTAGCTTAAAAGTGACATTTTCAAGTATAAATTTATTTTACCTATAGAATAAATTATTATTTGACTTTGATTTGACTTGACTTTGATTTGACTTGACTTCTTTCTAAAATCTCAGATTAAAAATAAAAAGTTAATAATAAAAGTTTGTTGTTTATGAACAACAAAATATTTTAACTTACAATTATGAAACTTTCCTTCTAAATACTACTGTAGAAATGTAATTGCTAGTTACATATAAAAAATATAGAGCAAACACAATACAATAAATCCGTCATTTCAGGGTGAGGAGGACCAATCGATGTGTATACTAACAAAATTATTTACAACACAATTTCTTCTTAATTTTGATATACCACACACAAATTACAAATGATTCATCAATTTCCTCAGTTGAAGTTATTTTTATACCTGCCTTACTTTGCATGTATTTCCTAATAATGTTATTACATATTGATTATTTATATTACAAAAGAAGGAGTTACAAACATATTATTATATATATGTTAGTTATTACCTCCTTAAACATACTACATATTAGTTTTAAACAGAAACCTATGCCAACAACTTATAAATCGCAACAAATATCAATCATCTAGAAATAATAGTCAACACTAAATGTCGTTTATATATACACAAAATTACAGCAATATGCATTCTCGGTGCTTTAAAATTGAAACAAAAGCAAGATAACAACATAAATATTGAGGAATCACGTCGATACGTGAAAACGACGCGCTAGATTTGCGCGGTCCGTATCAAAACATTGTGAGAGCTAACTACAGCTCAACACGTACTTGAAAACGCTATCGTGAACCATTATCATTATAACGACATCAAACATTGTTACCACTAAAAATTTGCATCATGTTGCTTTTCAACACAGTATTTTTCAGTAGCACCTATTCTAAGAGGTACCTGATCCACGCGAACGATTGTTTACCTTTTATCACAGATTGCACTCACAAAGCAATCGTGAAAGTGGAGCCAAAGGATAAAGAAAACTCACCTCATATTATTTCTGTCCATGTTTCGATCTAACACCCTTATCTTTTATACAAACACTACCAATAATTACACAATCGTATAATCTAACTTATGACAAATGCCAAACCTTATTTCATTTCAAATAAATTACATAAAATCCTATAAAATAAAGATAAATAATACACAGGACGCCACAAAGACACGATAGACAACTGTCAAAATTGCCAGCTGCACAATTTCCGATTTCCGCGCATTGAACTTAATGCTGATTGGTTATGCGGTTAGTATGTACATGTTATACACCAATCACTGTCATAGTAATGCAGCATGCGTAAAACAATAGCAACCAATGAAAACGAATCAAAGCCGAGATATTTACGAAAAGCGTTATCTTTCTCATTTACGTAAAAAAATATATTGCAGTATTTCGTGAAATCGTGACACAAGCGCTACAAACACACATCTAAAGTCAGCCAGTGCGTTTTTATTGTTGCATTGAAGCCTATTATATTATAATAAAAAAGGAACGCTTATGTAATTGAATAAATAACACTTTTCTTTTTGCACGAGGCGCAGTAAGCGCCCTGTTCTTATAAAAAGCTCTCTCGTTGGCGTCAGCGGTGCATGTTTGTTTTTGTTTTCATAATTTTGATAATTTTGCGGAGATATTTGATAATTTCTTGAAAGTTATTATGTTTGCAAAACAGTAGGAACATCATTAACCATATGAATAAACTTAAAACCCCAAAAATGTCGGAAAAACTCGGTTTTGAAGAATTACGAGCAAAGTACAAGGTTTGTCAGTTTCTAACCTTACTATTCGTAAAGTTATTTTATTATATCCCCTAAATACAAAGAGGCGCTACGACCTCGAGTTGCGGAAACCAATACGTTACACCATATGTTTTAATTTAAACATTTTCAGGACGTTCTCTCGAAAGCGTTTGCAACAAACAACATCGATTTGCTGGATTCATTTTCAAAGACGACCAATGAAAATGATAGGAAAGCAGCTATGGACCAGGCTTTTCGAGACAAACTATTAGAGCTGTTAATTGAGGAACCTCATACCCTCGAAAATTACGTTTGTTTCTGCATAGAGTCATGTAGACGACATATGGTAACCCCAACCATGCCAGTAGTTCTACTAGGTGACATTTTTGATGCTCTAACACTAAATAAATGCGAGAAAATGTTCACGTATGTTGAGAATGGAGTCAACATTTGGAAAGAAGAATTGTTCTTCGTAGCTTGTAAGAATAACTTGTTAAGGATGTGCAACGATTTACTAAGACGACTATCACGATCACAGAATACAGTTTTTTGTGGACGTATATTGTTATTCTTGGCTAAATTCTTCCCATTTTCTGAACGATCTGGGTTGAACATTGTTTCCGAGTTCAATCTAGAAAATATAACAGAATTTGGAGGAGATAACAAAAGTACTTTGAAAGATGCTCTAGATGAGGAGATGGTCGTAGACAAGGAGAAAAAGCTGACCATAGATTACAATTTGTACTGTAGGTTTTGGAGCCTACAAGACTTTTTCAGGAGTCCCAATTCTTGTTACAATAAGTTGCAATGGAAAACTTTTGTTGCAGTAAGTATACAAGATCATTTACAATTTTTTACAGTAAATGAAGTTTCTCTTTGATTGTATCTGAAACTCGCATTACATAACTTTTTATTGTGCTGAGGGTTTGCTTTCCCATTTTCTCAAAGTGTAATTGCAGTTGATGCTTAAGAATAAAATATCATTTATTTTTGACAAATATGGTATAGTAAAATTAGATCTTACAACATTAAAAACAAGTTCAGTGTTTTTTGCCAACAAGCGGCATAGAAATATTAAAATAATATTAATTCCGTTAAAATGTCCAAATAAATTTCTATCAAAAATAGAATTTGTGTCAGATGTAGTTAAAAATATTAAAAATGTGATTGAATGAAGTCATTAAAAGATGTCATGTAGATAAACATTATTATTATAATAACCTGGGATCGGAATTGGCAGATTTTTTTACCTAAACTTCGACGAACATAGATGGAAAATGGAGACTGCCTTACGACAATATTTTTAGGTCCATTTTATTTTTTCCTACTAAATTATTAGATTTATGGCAAAATGTGATATGACAATATTTAGTTAGGACAATAGGATCTCTCGATTGGCATTTTTTTTATAGAGGTATCGTGAAAAAAAATCCAAAGACCGACCTACTGTGCGTCGCAAAGTTAAGATAAATATAGTGTACCTGCCTGCCCCCCATTACGTAAAATTTTAATGTTCTTAAGTGTTTTCCCGAACCCCGAAAAGGTCCAAGACCTAAAAGATTTTGTCGCAAGGCAGTCTCCATTTCTGTCTATGTTCCTCAAAGTTTAGGTAAAAAAACTCTACCTATTCCGGTCCCTCATAATAACACTTGTCAATCAATAGCGATGTCAGTTTCGTTTTGTATAATACTAATGGTGGTGACTCTGTTTTCCGGTAATTTATTATAAATTTTTGGTACCATGCCAACTACACTCTTTCTTAACAAAGCTATGTTGTAACAACCTGTTAACAATAAGTTGCAGCACTGTGTATAAACAAATGTACTATTACAAGTTTGCTTTATGTAAAAGTACATTTATTTTCAATAAGCAGTCTACTTGTTATCGTTTTGATGGCATACACTATAATGCTTGCCATCATGGTGAAAGAATTTGTCAATGGGCGTAATGTACTTGTCGGTTGTGCCCAGGATGCGCCAGATGTACAACAAGGGAATAGTAAATCGTGCGGGGAGACTCCTATCTTGCACCCCAACATGCATCAATAAGTAGTTCTTGGTTGTAATATCAAAACTTACTTGACATTATCATCTCAGAGTGAAAACTTCACACGCGTATTTACATTGTTTTACTGACTTTTTCTTAGATATATTATTAAAGTAATATAGCACCTGAAAGAGGTATAGTTTAACGAATTAAATTGCTAACTACAAATATCATGTGTTTACTATATTTTACACCATGTTTTATCTTCATCTTGAAAAATTTCATAGACATCTTGTAAGGTCACAATATACAGAGTTTTTTTTTTAATGGGACAGTATGGGGAAATCCAGAACCATAGAAGATATAAGGAAACTGTCTTAGGACCCATTAGTATTTATTTTGTGCAAACAATTTTAACATTGTCAATTTTTTTGTCAAGCATGAGTTGTCCATGAAAATGAGTAAAATTAATAATTTTTTTTGTGTTGATCGATTTATTTTATGTCAGGATCTTTTCATTGTACGAAATGAAAGAAATCGAGACAGCAGAAGTTTGTTGAATTTCATACAAAATTAATAAAATTGACTATTTTAATCCTGATAGACTTAGCTTCGTATAAGGATGATTTCGTTGTATGAGACGAAAAATATCGGGACAGCAGATGTTGGTCAAATTTAATTAAAGGATTTTTCATATACGCTGTGACTATATTCATAATCCCGCATTACGCGGCGGATGGCTAGGCGGAATGCAATGAATAATGAATTAGGACAGTTTCTTTGCATCTTTCGTTTCAGATTTCCCCTTACCATCCCATTTAAAAAAAACACTGTATACCTACACTGTCCTAAATCAATAAATTTTTATATGCTGTGGATAACATTAATTTTTATGTATCGATGGCTGCAAAGAGTATCCGGTTGTCTGCAAAATCACGACTTTACAGTAGAGCATTTTGAAAGCGAAAACTTGATATTTTGCGATGTCTAATTGGCCAACATTTTGAGCAATCAGGAAATATAAAAAGCTAATGAAGGATATTCAGAATTTTATACAAATTATTCTCTGTTGTAAAATGTAATTTTGCAGATAACTTGTTACTCTATGTTGCCGTCAGTATTCCAAAATTCGCATTAAGTAAAATTTTCAGCATTCTGGTAGTGTACTGTCTGCATTCTCATCATGCAAGTTAGAAGCTGTCGAGCTACAGAAATCTAAGCTGAACAGACTGAAAGCTGTCAACACCGACATTGAGATGCACGAGTCCAAAGAACAACATTATTTTGCCAAATTTCTTACCAATCAGAAACTTTTGGAGCTACAACTGTCGGATTCTAATTTCCGGAGATGTGTGCTCATACAGTTCCTAATATTATTCCAGTACTTGACTTCTACTGTAAAGTTTAAAATGTAAGTTGATGTTTTTAATACTACAACTCCGAATGCAACAAAATGTAGTAATTTTTGTTGCTGGGTGATTTTTAGTATGATATCTATTATAGAAATTCAGATTAGGTATAGCCTGTATGACGGGGCTGCCTGCAAATACGTCAAAGGTTCCAGTAGCCGCTTCCAAATATACTTAACTCAATTCTGAAGCCAATCAATCGATTCTAAGTTTAGTAGCAGTAGAGAGAGAGAGAAAGAAGTCGTCCAGGGCAGTGCTGCCACCTTACTTATTTCTGCCGCCAAGCAGTAGTGTCAGCATTGCTGCGTTCCGGTTTTGAAGAGTAAAGATGCTGGTGAAATTACAGGCACATGGAACTTGTCAACTTATGTCTCAGGGTGACTGGCGCAGTGACAGTGCCCATAAGATCTTTGCGATTTAAAGCTCTCAATGGCACTGCAACTTATGAATAGGCGTGTCGCTTACCATCAAGCGCACGACTTATTCGACCAGTCACTTGGTATTATAAAAAAAAGACTGTTAAAGCATTTAACAATTTCTGTTAAAAATTCATTTCAGGGAATCTCAAGAGTTAAAAGCGGACCAAGCCGAATGGGTAAAAGAGACGACATCTCTGATATACCGTCTTCTTAGTGAAACGCCTCCGGACGGTAAACGTTTCGGCGAATGTGTTAAGCGCATACTGAAAAGAGAGGAGCATTGGAATAGCTGGAAGAATGATGGCTGCCCAGGTAAAGTTTCTTTCCCTTTATTAGTACTTTAAAGCCAGATCAAAATAATAATTCTGGCTTATGTTATGACTCATTACTAACGTGACCACAGACCACATAAATACTAGTAATAGACTGGTTAGTGGGCGGGGTCCGCGTTACCTAGCTTATCACCAGACGGGCGAGTATGAGAGGGTATGAGTGTCAACAGCACGTCAGTTAAATGTGATACTTGATTATTTTGTGGAAAAAATAGAAATAAAATAGTTGTGCCAATATATCATGTCGCGTTTTTAGCCTAAGTTTAAAAAATACTCCGGGAGTGACTTCATTTCATCGGTAAGTACTAAAACTCTGCATTTTCTAATATTTTGAACAATACAATATTATAATTTCTAAACAAAACTATTTTCTTGCAACTCGGTAATAACAATATACATCGGTTGCTAGCCATCGCCACCGGCAAAAGAACAATTCGAATGACGCTCAATGAATTGCTTGCACTAGTGTCGTATTACACTTGGTACTGGGTCCGCGTGTTGTAATCAAATTATCGATATGTAGAAACTCTGTATTTAGAAACCCGGTTTTGGTTTAGTTCAAATTTTTTTGTATTATAGCGGTAGGTACCATTGTGTAAACATAAATTGTTTACAGATATTTAAAAGGTAACAATTTTGATTACTGAAATGTTTGCACCCAACACTTGCAATAGTTTTTTAAAATTTTCAATTTAAGTAAAAACGATATATTAATGGAAATAAAGGAAATATAGATAGAAGAGGTCGTACAGTATCGATAATTTTAAAATGCACGTAAGTTCGTGGAGTATCAAATGAAGACTTTATAAGATTGGAGATTTTCTTTTCCTTATCTACATGATTCCTATCTCCCTACTTGCTTATTATACGTGACCTTCGTCCGCTTGAGTTCTTAGTTTTATCACAAGCTTTTTTTTGTATTTGCAGTTTTTGTATTGATGTTTTTTAGTTTCCCGCCGGATCCTGTTTAAAGGAGAAATGGGCTGAAGCATCAGGCAACAAAAGCTGGGTACCTACTAAATTTAGCACCATTTGCTATAGGTATTTCGTGATGTCACATTAAATTATATACATATGAATAACAACCGAAAAATTCATTAAGAAATAAATTATTTGGTTAATCAGGTAATATATGACATGAAACTCAGAGTCGCATTCACAAATTATAGACCACATCTAAATGTGAAAACATTTCTGAAGCATTGTCAGTTATTTTTCGTCAAGTTTTCATGAAACAAATGATTCGCTTCTTCGCCTTCGGAAATAAGTATCTTCATTTTCTTGACAAACTCGTCGACGTTATCGGTGTAGTCATGTTCAGTCAGTTCAGAAAGAGGTAATTGTTGAACAAATATTAATTGTTGAAATAATATTATTTCAGGGAGAATAAAGATTTGTATGATCACTGTGTTTTAATAGTTCAACCCTTCCAGTGATCGGAATGACTTGAAATCTAGTAGGTTAATGAAAGTATGACGACAGTATAATAAATCATTAATACTGTGATTGCAGCACGCCTGCGTATCTAATATCAATTAATATTTGCGTGTAGTAAAACCTTACGCGTATTTGGTAACAAATGTGTGCGTGTAAAATCAGCTACGCTAGTTCTCGAAGAAATTCTTTTAAATGCCCTTTCCATATACTCCGTGGTTAACCCTAATTATAGCAAGTTTAAAGCAATGCCTAGTTCAATATTCCGCTAGTTATAAAACTTAAGAGGGAGCAGAGGAAATATTCCTAATCTTCAATTTGATTTTAGAGGGGTATATCCACTTTAAAGTTAAAAATAAAATATTGTATGAGTAACTACACGATATATTCAAGCATAGACATTAATCAGAAACATAAAACAATAAAGTTTCCTCGATAGATAAAAATCACGAAATGACCTCTAATTTTCACATTTTTTCGATTTATCCTCGAAATGCTACAGGTTATTAGGACAAAAATTAGATAATTAATTATATTATGCATGATCGACAACTGTCACTACGGATTTTTTTAAATCCCTTTAGTTTTAGAGTTATTCCGCTAAAACGAATGTGGTACTTTTAATGCGCAAAATCCAACATCTCCTGTCGCATGTCGCACGAACTTCAGGCATATATTTGTTTCACAAATTTGGGCGGAGCCAATTTCAAAACTTTTTTGGCATGAGAGCTCTTAATGTCGATATCAATTAAATGTCACATCCCTATCTGTAGATTGTCAACATTTCGCTTTTGTTCCAAGAAGTTTATGTCCATAGGATTCTTAGCTTTTATGTGACTAGTAATAATAAAACCTTATTAGATCCAAATAAGTTTATTTTTTTTACCAAAAGCTTTTTATTATTGTCTATTATCGTTTGATAATTTATAACCAATCAAAATTATGTTATCTTAGTACTAATATAAGATTACGTTTTCAAATGTGTGCGTGTGGCGACACTGGTTTTGATATAAATGTTGCTTAATGCCATTTCCATTCTTTTCTTTCTTCCGTGAACGTGACCATTATTTTTGTCTCTCAGAGCGGTACGCCTAGCGCCTGTACATTTATGGTTTTAAAAATAAAATACACGTTTAGGATAGTTACATAATGTTTAAAATTAAAAAAATCTTTTGTAGTCTGGTGGGCTGGCTTTATATGACCATTTTTTTAGATTAATTTCACATGTGTATTATTTTGTCAATGCGGAACATTCTCAAGTATTTTGGGGACAGCGGGACACTAAGATAAAAGCGGGACTATCCCACTCAAAGCGGAACGTATGGTCACGTTACCCATGACGATCCTGAGGAGTTTAAGATCAACAGTCAACTGCTAAATGATCCCGGCTTATGAAGGTACTTATAGGTATATAGTATAGATGATAAGTATAAAACTGCAGGCATTTTTTGTGACCTAACAAAGGCGTTCGATGTAATTGAAAATGATTTATTAATTCAAAAGTTAGCTGTGTATGGCGTCAACGGAGTCGCCCATAACCTATTAAAGTCTTTTTTATCAAACAGACGGCAAACGGTTCAGGTCAGTACAAACGGTACAACAACTAGGTCAGCGGCTGGTGACGTCACCATTGGCATCCCACAGGGATCTGCCCTAGGTAATACACTATTCCTGGCATTCATCAATGATCTGCCATACTTTATATCAGGGGGTCTTGTGGTTCTATTTGCGGACGATACAACCGTTATAGTGTGTGCTAAAACCTACAACGAGTTGGAAGAAAAATTAGCCTGCACGTATGAGCAGCTGTGTGAGTGGTTCTCTGCGAATGGACTTATTCTTAACGAATCGAAATCAAACCTTATGTTGTTCTCAGGAAGAAATTCTATAACAAAGCCAATTATCACCTCCATTGTTCCATTATGTAACACCTGTAAATTCTTGGGTTTAACGCTAGACTCAAATTTGAACTGGAAGTCACATAATTATACAAACTCTATGTCAAAAACTTGGAAGTGCTGCATACGCACTGAGGAAACTGCGTCCTCTTGTCTCCAATGTGGTATTGAGGCAGACGTATTATGCGTATTTTCATTCGTTGATGTCTTATGGCATCACACTGTGGGGTAATTCAACTGAGTCGATTAGGGTATTTATTCTTCAAAAACGTGCACTAAGAACAATAGTAGGCATAAAAAAGGGTCAGACCTGCAGAAACCTTTTTAAGAAATACAATATAATGACCATGTACTCACAATATATTTATGATATAATAGTTTATGCGCGTCAAAACTTGGCTACTTATGAGCGACGTACAGGCGGAGGCCGAGCGTTACGAAACGCGGGAACACTAAAATCCGTTGCCCACCGTACCGAACTTGCAACTAGAAATCCGCGGGTAATAGGTCCCCGATTCTACGAACATCTACCCACAGACCTGAAAAGTGTTAGAAACGATGCAACGTTTTGTACCCGACTAAAAAACCTTTTATTGGATATTGAATTGTACAGTGTCGATGAGTTTCTTTTGAAACAATTTTAATTTTATTTTATTCGACAAGCAGTAGTTATACTACTTTATTTTATATTCATTATTATTATTATAATTTTATTACTGACGATCATAGTTATCCCTTGACATTGTATTTCCAATTGTAATATTGTGACATTGATAACATGAAATAAACGATTCTATTCTATTCTATTCTATTCTATAAAACTTTATTTCCGCAGAGTTTCAGAAACCAAAGCCACCGCCACAGTCAGATTCTCAAGAGGAAGTGAAGAAATCAAAAAAACGCAGACGACCTGTCGGAGACATTGTTAAGGAGTACGAGAGTCAAGACAAATTCTATATGGGAAAGTATGTACCTATGTATCTTATTGTCAACATCTCCACCAATTAAATCACGTGATTTCCGAACCATGGGTGTGAAAAACTCATGCTACCGCATTTGAAAAAAAAAATGGAATTATCTATAAAAACTACACTACATTTTTTTCATTGTGATTTTTTTGTGTGAAGTTAATATAAAAAAGTACGTGTTTTTAATTATTTTTTGTGGTGGTGGCCATTGAAATTTTTTATCTTGCGTAAGTAGGCGGTGAGGCAACAAGTTTGGGAACTTCCGGTGTAGTGATTGTGCACATTTTCCTTCAAATCGTATGAATGTCCGGTTTATGACATATTGTATTATAAGCTCATTTTTCACATTTAATGCATGGTGATTGATTACTTATGCATGGTATTTTAATTTCCACCAGAAATATCCCTAAATCTGTTGTCATTAATAAATTTCCCATAGAAATACAATTTTTTTTACAGTAATGAACTGACGAAGCTATGGAATCTATGTCCAGATAATCTAGTAGCTTGCAAAACCAAAGAGAGGGATTTCATGCCATCTTTAGGTGAGTATATTTTGTTTAAATTTTGTCTTAGGCCCGTTATGTACAGATGGCAGCACATCGGGTTACACATTGACAGATTTTGTTCCGTTGCACTGGAAGCGATATTCGAACAAAAGTATATATATGCTGTTGATTGTACCAAAGCGGAGTGGACAAAGATGTATTCTGTGCTGGGGCGGTGAATATACCTAAATATGCCAAGAGCTTCATGATAAATTTGTAAAATAGTCTCCAGAATATACATATTATATAAATATACACACCGATACATTTAATGGAACAATTAAGAATGAAAATATAAAATAATAAAAAGTTAGAACATTTTAACATTGATTACATCAAAGTTCAAATGAATAAACAATACTAGTGACGAAACGGATAGTGATATGGCCGGATACCGGATATCCGGCGAGCACTTAGGCCGGATAACGGCATATCCGGCCGCCGGATACCTGACCCACTGCCGTAAACATGTCGCGACCAGTTCACCGATGCAATCGCCTTTAGATTCCAAGAGTAGCGATACAATCGCCTTTAGATTCCAAGAGTAGCGATGCAATGGCGCGTTTGTATCGATGCAGTCGCGCGCTTGCATCGCTGCTTAAAATCGCGCGCTTGCATCGCTGCTTAAAATCGCGCGCGTGTGTCAAGGTAGACAATTAGCGACTGCATCGCAGCTAAAAGTCGTGGACTCCTATACGATCTAGCTCATACAAAAGCACTCGGTCTGAGAGCACTCGTATTATGAAAACCCGGCTTAACGATGATGATGGTGAGTAATTGTGCATTGACTGAAGAATCGTTCATGGTGACGGGCGCCGAGACCGTGGGCGGCACGCGTCGCACCAACAACGGCGGCTGGGGCTGGCGCGCGCTGCGGTTGCTGGCCCGGAGGTCGCCGCACTTCTTCGTACACACTAACAACCCTATTGGGCGGTTGCCTGATTATCTGGATGACATGGTGAGATTTGTTTATTGCATTAGCTATTTTAATAGCACTAGCGATCCCTCGCCGACAAATATTTTGTATTTGATGACAGCGATGTGTATCCCATTGAAATTGTGTTCCTTTGAGACAGTCTAATTGAAATTGTGTCCTTTTGAAAATTCGAATCGTTAAAATTGTACACCTTTCATACAGCGTCTTGTTAAAATTGTACGTAAACCTTTAAAATGGTCCATTAGAAACAGAGCTCCGTTAAAATTATGTCCCTCTGGATATTACATAATAATTATTATTAATTAATATTACCATAATGTTATCTATGACCTCGTACATAACATTATGGTACGCAATAAAGTATTGAGTGTTCTCCCGTTAGAATTATAACAGTATCCTGTTAAACTTGCTTTCCTTTGAAATTGTCCCTTTCAAAGCTTCTCGTTAAAATTGTGCCTACATGGAACTAAGTTTTCAGAACACATTTTAGAGTGTCGACTCCATAGTAGCATTTAGCCAGTCACAAATCTTTATTTCCACGTATTAAGAGCGAAAATGACGTTGTGGGTTTTATATGTTGTTTAAAATTTTGTTCCGCTAAAATACGATTTACAGCCCGTTCCCACTAGTCGGCTGTCGGGCCCAGATCTTGATCGGGTGTCGGCGCCTCTGTACACACTAATCGGGTTATCGCCAACGGTCGAACCTGGTGCCAATTTTTAACACTACGCTAGGCGCCTGTGCGCGATGGATGTCGACGAAGTTCTTGTTGTGATGTATTATTATTTGAGAAGAAAATGACAAAAGACAGTTAAGGAAAGAAAATATTGGGTGCACCTAATCCTAAGGGAAAAAACAATGGGTAGCGGAGAGCGGGTTGTGGGCCCCAACATCCGACAAATGTGAACATCGTCATACTTACTCATAGGCGAGATCCAACACGATTTTTTTTTTCGGGCGTAGAGGGCGAGCAAAACACCTGACATTTCTTGTCGACGCCGACCCAAAATCGATTTTAGACAAGTGTGTGTAGCTTCATATAAAATGCTCTGCCACTGGAACATCCGATTAAAATCCGGGTCAGGCAGCCGACAAATGGGAACGGGCTGTTACAGTATCTTACGTTCCTTGGATGCAAAATAGCACAAACAATCGACAGTTGAGGTCCACCTGCATTCCCACTGCTCCTTACTTTGCAGTGTAATGATTGTGACTTTGTAATTTGGGTATTATGTCTTATACCCTAAAGGTGAAACGTGTCACGCGCGAAGCCCAAATGAAAGCTGAAGCCAGCTCCAATGGGGAATCTTCAAACAACTTATCGGATAAGACTTCTAAACAGGTAAATTCACTCTTATTGCATATATGAATAACTTTTAATTTTTTTTTTTCGAGGTTATCATTATCATTTTGTTTAAAATTAATTTCAGAAGATCGGTTCCTGGAATTCTGTAATGTATTAACAATTCATGTATTGTAGTTATTCTATATCAGTATGTTAACATTCCACGTAGAATTGTCATTTAACTGGTAATTGTAGCATACATTGTACAGTCAGCTTCAAAATTGTCAAGGTGTTAGACGTCAAAAATATCTGCACATCCAAAGAGGTCAACTGTCAAAACTAACATTATTTATTTTTTAATTTTCTCTCTAGGTTTTTTTATCTCATTTGCCGTAAAATCTGCCGACTCGATCTGTAGTTGAGGTGGTAAGAGCGCTGGCCCCGGTATGGCAACAGGCTGGTTCGAGTCCGGTCAGACTGAATGAATTTGATGATGAACAAACTAGTGGAGTATTTTCACAAAAAAAAATTAACTATTAGCATCCTAGTAAATACATTGTGGTTCAATAAGATAAATATTAGCAATTACAGTGATATTTCCGAGTGGTGTGCCGTTGTGCCAAACCCACAAATCGTCGTTTTAGAGTGAATACCTTGTATGTGATTTCTGTTATTTTTCAGGACTAAGATAAAAATGTGGTTTAAAATGTAGTAAAAGCAATAATGTTTGTAGTTAGCATTTTTTAGTTAGTTAAATTATACCTCTTTCAGATATTATATTACTTTAATAATATATTTGAGCAAGAAGTTCATAAGTTTTTCCTTAAAAAGGGATCAGTAAAATCGAACTATGTGAAAACGCGTAAACGGTTTTACTCTATAGCGACGAATTACGAAATCACAAATACAACCACAAATTCTTCATTAACACACAAAACTACAACATAACTACAAAATTGTTTTGATAAGTTCAAAGTGCACTTTTAAATTCTTTTTAGTCGAAATTTCGATTGCAGATATTTTAAGCGTATTGAGTATGAATATTTTTTGGATGTAGTTATTTTTTATAAGTTTGACTGTTTATTTTGTACTTGTACTGACGAACGATTGTAAAATAACTTAATTGGTAGAGAAGAACTGGTGACATACCTGGCGGTGAATAATTTAATTTCTCTGTCTTCTGACTTTTATTATCAATATCTACATTGATGACTTTGTGCAGGAGCCCAACGAAGAAGAGATTACTGAGGAACAAATGGAAGCTGACCTCATAAAGGAGGGAGACACTGCCGATATTGAACAGGTATGCTGTCCAGAATGTCTGAAGAAATTGACATGAAAACTTTGAACTTTACAATTTTTGTTAATACACATAACTTTTTTGTTTTTCTTTATAATTGAAATTACAGGCACGTGGGACTTGTCAACTTATGTCTCAGGATGACGGGCGAAGTGGCAGTGCCCCTCAGATCTTTGCGATTTAAAGCTCTGAGTGGCACTGCAACAGTTGTGGACAGGCGTTTAGCTTACCATCAGGCGCACGACTTGTTTGTCCCGTCACTTATTATTATAAAAAAAACTTAAATCAAAGCAAAGAACCAAGTTTTGTATATAGAATAGAAGCCGTGGTAGCCTAAAGGTTTGACCTACAAACCTCCGCCTCTCAAACAGAGGCCGTGGGTTCGAATCCGGGCTTACACCTCTGAGTTTCTCGGGGTGCGAAATTTAATTTGAAATTTCCTTTCCTCCTTTAGGTTTCCTCCACCGAAAAGCTCTTGGTGTTTCGGTGAAGGAAACCATCATGATGAAACCTGCACGTTGAAGAAGTTTACAACCCTCAGAAAACGTGTGAAGTCCTCACATTGGCCAGCATGGCGGATTATAGCTTAAAACTGTCGTCAGCTGAAACCCGTGCCCAGCAGTGGGATGTATTAATACTTAAATCAAGGCAAAAAACCGTGGGAAACTCGAGTATTGTATTTTGTAAATTTAGAATAAAGCACAAATTTTAAACGCCATACAAAAACATAGTAATATTCTTGACGATTGGTATCGATTTCAAAAAAGAGAATGAGAAGAGATGCTACGCAATATGCTATGGAATATTAATTACTTTGTCTAAAACCAACGACGTAGATAACTTACAAAATTTGCCCGTAAATGATTATCACTAATATCAGGTTTCTTACCACGGTACGACTTTTTTTATTTTCCCGATATTTCGGAACGGTTGCACGCTCCATGGTCACGGGTTGACGGGTTGAGAGTCAACCCGTCAATATCGGGAAAATAAAAAGAAGTCATACCGTGGTAAGAAACCTGATATTAGTGTTATTCATTTAGTGAATAACCACGAAAATCTTAAAATCTATATAAAATTTGCCCTTATTTTTATCCAAAAGTACCGGCACGCTGTGATGGCCGTTTTGACGTTTGTCCGTTCAAGTTTCGTATAATTACGTTGAAGGAGCTAATTGCTGTAAGTTGTTGTCAATAGCGACGTGGAATAAAATTTATGGAATGTATAATTTTACGACACAACTCGGCATCGTTTTTCGAAATTCGAAATTTTTGAAAATGAAATCTAATACGAAAATTATAAGTATACATTTTTATTTTCGTTTTATTAAAACTTTTCAATCAGCTACCCCTTGTAATGCTAGTTATAAATCTAAAAACTTATAAATGCGACTCGCATTTGATTATATTTTTTTCGATAATGAATTGACATTTCACGTCACTATTGTAATCTGTCAAAACGGCCATCATAGCGTTCTGGTACTTTAAAGGTTTTTTCCAAATTTGTGAGGACTGCTAATAAATATATTCATTAACTTTTTTTCTTAGGTACCCGACTCAACACACGCCGGCGAAGACGATTACGACAAAACAACCCGATCTCGTATCACCACAACGCTGACATCATCACAGCTTGAAGCAGTATCCGCCAAACTCACCGACTGGAAAAAACTCGCCGCCAAACTAGGCTTTAAGACTGACGAAATACAGTTCATAGAGACAGAGAACGCTACTGATCCAGCCAGAGCTAAAAATTTGCTACAATTATGGTTCGATGATGACGAAGACGCGTCTGTAGAGAACCTTCTGTACATCATGGAGGGATTGAAATTGGTGGATGCATGCGAGGCCCTCAAGAACGCAAAATGACGAAAGGCTAAACGTTGCAAGCGACTGGTTCTGTGGACAAGTGGTATTAGTAATAAAAATAATATATAAGTCTTTTTTCTTTCTTATTTCTTTGATTACAAGACCCAACACTGACTGTAGCGAAATAATAAGACAAGCATGATAATTCCATACAAACGTAGCAGCGCGATTTGTATGTGTGCACGCACGCTGCTCAACGTGTGCAGACACACACATTCGCACAATCTCGCGGTGCACTTGCGTCGCAAAGCGCGGGTCGCACGCGCCATTCATTATAGAATTGAAGCGTTTGTACGATGTTTAAAATATTTCTGTGTCAAATTTATATTTTTTTATCGATATATATCTTTATGTATAAACAAACTCGTATTTCATTTATATTTTATTGATCATACTTCCATAATCGAGATACTAATACGCAATGCTAGTATTCATAAAAATTCAATATCGGTATTGCATTTGACAAAGATTATATCAGTATAGCACGGTAAGACAGGAATATCTTAATTTTTCCAAATTATATTTTGCACCCTGTAGAATAATGTGGCAACCCTACACACTGAACGACGCATCTCGTTGCGCAGATATAAACGCCCTGTTGCATTACTTGTCATTTACTATGATTATATGCTCTGGCCACATTACCAAGTTAAAACCATTCCATAGTTCCAGTTCATTCCATTACTGTATTATTACACTCTTTGGTTAAAACTAAACCGTGCACTACAATAATAACATAGTATAATAAGAGCAAGTAGGCCAACTCCCTCCGATTCGGCGCTTATATACCTACACTTCGCTCGGAGTGTATGGTTGTTGCATAATTATTTTAGTTGTACCTACACATTGACCTACCAACAAATGGACGTCGGCTCTAATACAAAACCATGAAAAAATGTCCGAAGTTAACCTATACAAAGGTAGTAGTAATATAACGAAATATAAACAAAACAAACATTTAATTTTAATTGTGACGTCATTGCAGTGCTGCCTAATTTTGCTTGCAACAATTTACGGGCCCAAAAACACCATATTCAGCTTCTACTGGAAACTTAATAAAATGCATCATATTTAGCTTCGACTGAAAATTACTTGAACACAAAAAATAATAATTCATTAATATTTACCATAAAGGCAGCTCCATTACTCTTGTGTTCAAGTACTTGGTACTTGGTGTCGATTTGCGGACACCAGCCCGTTACACCAAGCCAAGTACTTGAACACAAGAGTAATGGAGCTGCCTTTATTGTAAATATTAATTAATTTTTTAGCGCGAACCCGACGTCCATTTGTTGGTAGGTCAATGTACCTACAGGATGTAATCATATTTTGAAAAAAATAATGTGTTCTTCACAGTATTCGCGTGCTATATTGAATTAACCTTTATTAAATGCGATTGGTACTTACGTATTGATATTTTTTTTTGTAATACCAAATGACGGGACGAACAATTAAGTCGTCCGCCTGATGGTAAGCGACACGCCTATCCATAGCAGTTGCAGTGCCACTTAGAGTTTTTCTTAGGCGCATTGCCACTGTGCCCTGAAACATAAGTTACAAAGTCCCATGTACCTGTAACTGCACCAGCACCCTTACTCTTCAAAACTGGAATGCAGAAATGCTCACATTACTGCTTGGCGGTAGTAATAGGTAAGGTGGCATTGCTTTGCTGGACAAGCTTTCACAAGAAGCTCTACTGTGGAGTATGATAATGAAATAGAAATCAAATACTGAATAATTCAGAATTTGAGGCTCTCGTGTTCAAACTGCCGCTAAATCGACAATAAACACGTGTAGGTAATTTGATATCAATTTTTTGAAGCCCGATCGATCGCTTCATTTATATAATTAATAGCACATTACGACGACCCGCACTATGCAACACGAGTACAATGTGGTCTGTGAGTACACCGCACTATATTCTAAGTATTTTTTTTTAATTTTTCAAATAGTATTTCCTCGATTCAATCTTTTTCGATTTACGACAGTATTTTGGGTTCCAACGACCAGTGGCGGATTTGCCTCGGGGCCCAGTAGGTCCGGGTCTAGGGCGGCCAGATTTTAGGGGCGGCCAATTGTGACAAAAAATTCACTGATGATAGATAACAAGAAATAACTCAAAGTATACCTAAATATTCTAAAGGCTCACGCACATTATGGCGGGTCGGACTGCACCGCATCGTATAACAATAATCTTCCTAAATCACTTTCGCACATTTTATGTATAAAATATAGATATGTTACAGTGTCTAGGGTGGCCAAGACTGCAAATCCGCCACTGGGTATAACCTTCAAATAATAAATCTGTTGTATTTTAGACAAAGGATAGACTAATTCCATTTGCGACTAAAACTGACTAATTCACGACTTTTTGTGGGCGCAATCAGATCTAAGCCCTGGTCCTGATCCAGATCCTGAGCTATGATTTTCGTGATTCAAAAATGGTGCCGCCGGAATAAGCTTATATGTAGTGTGAAACATCGTTATAATTTTAAAATGGCGTAATCACTAAATCTGTATACGACTAGAACCGACTAAATCACGACTTTTAGTTCAAGCAGATCTAAGCTAGGTGCTGTAGTTTTCGAGATTGAGGAATGTTGCCGCTGAAATAACCTTATTTCGGCGTGGACAGTATAAGACCATTACAATTTTTAAACGGAGCACCCACTAAATCTAGTTTTTGCAGCTAGAACCTGACCAGTCAAAGTTCAAAAACTAGAACATGGTCACGCTGGAGTAAGATATCAACCTACGCGAAATAAACCCATTTAACAATTATCTAAGAAGTAAAACTTCCTTCAAACCCACTTGAATATTTGACGCAGGCACCTAGGTACTCCTGAATAAATTTGGGATGTGCATGTTTTATTTTGCCCATAAAGCTCAATTTATGTTGGGCGGAACGGAATGGAAGCAAATTTTTGTAACGATATTGTACATAGCATAATGAAGTTTGTGGTCAATTGTGTAACGTGCAAACTAGATACGAGCCAAAATCTTCCGCGGAATGCGCGAGCATTCTCGAACATGCGCGAGAATTCCGTGGAAGATTTGGAAGAAGGTTTATGTGAATCCACAATAATTAACTCCAATTATTAGCAGCGTTTAAGATTTACATCCTCGAAGAATTTGAAGAATCTCATTGTCGTGCAATATGTTTATCCATGCAAAATAAATTTGAACTGCAAAATTTATTGCATTTCTACATGCTACATTCCATTCTAAAGATTAGGAAAAAAGGTTTCCACAGGAACGGTCGGGAGCGCAAGATTTATTCAACCATCCAACAATGTCGGCCGCGCCGAAATTATAACCTGCAGCATTTCCTCATCGCCGCTGAGTCACGCCGTGCCCAAAACAGAGCTTATTACATACAAAGATTAAACACAAATCTTGCTCGAACGATATAACGCTTAAACGTATCCGTCTAAAGTCTGCCCTGATCGCACGGCTGTCGTTGCCAAGATGTTTCCACAACCAGGCAAGCGAGATCCTCACCGGTGTTTCCTCACAGTTGGTGTCGAGAGGCAGCCGCAGAAGCTCCCCTTCGGGGATAGTCCAAGCTTCCCTGGTCGAGTGATACTGTTGGTGTGTTTACAGAATCGTGGAATAGTCGCTGCACCGAAATTAGTTCGAAACGAATGCGTCAATGGGTAGTCGGGGCGAGAGTTAGTGCGCGCGCGGTCGATCCCGGAATATGTATATTTTTATGATTCGATACGCGCGAGATTTTTTTATAATATTAAAAATATAACAAGGAAGAGTTGGCGTCATGACGATGGGTGCTTACGCGCAGGGGTGGAGCTCTATGGAAAGGATGCACTGGATTGCGTACACTTGCACGTAAGTATGATTTTGTGTGTAATATGCGTGATTTTTAATGTTCTAACAAGAGATAGTGTCCTTCAAGAACAACAACTTAGAATTTACAGACATCTCTGTCTTTTTCATTGTGTCAATTAATTTAGCAAACTTTTTTTCATATCATGAATTGCACCCCGCATTAGAATAACATCTTTATGTGTCTAAATATCAATTCTTCATAATGTACAGGGTCAAGAGCACGTCAAGCTTGACACTTAAAATTTAAATTTAACTCTATGCCGCTTACGATAAGAACGGTCCAAAATTCAAAGTGTCAAGCTTGATGTGCTCTTGACTGTACAAAAACATGCCAGTTGATTGTCGAACTAAGAACTTGGGCTAATTTCAATATTATTTAGGAAAGAAAAGTGTGTATATATCCCTGCAATTTTCTTCTTTCGAAGACAAAAATTCCAAAGGAGTGATGCTATTTTTACACCCTTTAGCATTATGGTATGCCAACTCCGACCATAAACTTTTACGACGATGTGATTCGCACTTCGCAGCCCGTACCGCATGCCTAGACGCCTGGGTAAAGTTTTTGATTTACGTTCAACCAACTTTAGACTATATAGACATCCATCAAGCTTTACAAAACAAGGTTATTTTCGATCATTCTTCCAACTGAAACACCTCAATTTTAAGTTTCTTTTAGTTCACCAATCTTTCGTCAAGAAACTATAAATTATTCCTCTTTAATAATGTGAATCTTAATTCTTACAATAGTTAGAAATAGAGTGTTAATTTGTAACACAGATGCAGAGCTTACAGCAGTAATAAATCTTTGACGACATGCAGATTTTCTCACATTTTCTAAAATACCGTTCGAAAATATCCTTGTTGGTAGGAAATGAAACTATTTTTCCGGACGTTTCGGGCCCTTTACAGGTCCTATGACCATGGGGCCTGTAAAGGGCCCGAAACATCGGTTTGTTTGAAAAAACAAATATACGCGATTTAAATCCGGAAAAATTGTTTCATTTCCTATGTGTAACAATCGCGAAAACCTAAGCACTCGATATCCTTGTTGGTCTTTAAAGCCGCCCTGTACCTAAAGTGCTCACGTTCTTTTGTATAATATTATCTCTTTCTCACCGGGAAACTAAGAAAAAGAAACTATTTGACGGTCAACTTCAACTATATTTTGATATCCTCAACCATTTCAACTCGTCCGTCACATGTTCTATACAATTATATAGCAACAACCTTGACATATGAAATAAAC